GTGTTTATCAGCTGTAGAAATTCCCTGGTAATATTTTTGGGGTCACATATGTATAGCATCATGTTATCGGAAAATAGCAAAAGTTTGACTTCTTCCTTTCCAATTTTTAACCTTTTGATTTCCTTTTGTTGTCTTATAGCTCTAGCTAGAACTTCAAGTACTATATTGAATAGGTATGGAGAGAGTGGACAGCCTTGTCTTTTTCCTGATTTTAGTAAATCGCTTTGAATTTCTCTTCATTTAATTTGATGTTGGCTGTAGGCTTGCTGTATATTGCTTTTTATTATATTTAGATATATTCCTGCATCCTTGATCTCTCCAAGACTTTATCATGAAGGGGTGTTGTATTTTGTCAAAGGCTTTTTCAGCATCTACTGAGATGATCATGGGGATTTTTCCTTTCAGTTTGTTTATATGGTGGATTATATTCACCTGTTTTCATATGTTGAAAACCTGCATCTCTAGGATAAAGCCTACTTGATCATGGTGGATGATCTTTTTGATGTGTTCTTGGATTCTGTTTGCCAGTATTTTGTTGAGTAGTTTTGCATCAATGTTCATGAGGGAAATTGGTCTGTAATTATATTTCTTTGTTGAGTCTTGGTGTGCTTAGGGTATCAGGGTAACTGGCCTCATAAAGAGAATTTGGCAATGTTTCTTCTGTTTCTATTTTGTTGAATAATTTGAGGAGTATGGGTATTAGCTCTTTGAAAGTCTGGTAGAATTCTGTGCTGAAACCATCTGGCCCTGGTTTTTTTTTTTTTTTTTTTGATTGGGAGACTACTAATGTCTACTTCTATTTCCTTGGGGGCTATAGGTCTGTTTAAATTGTTTACCTGTTCTTGAATTAATTTTGGTTTGTCTTGTGGGCCGCAAGAATATATCATAGAGATTCAGCTGTGTATTAAAGCTGAACTTTGACCGGCCAAGGGTCTGTCAAAAGTCAAAGCCATTTATTATGAATATTTGGTGTTACCCAGCCTTTAACATTTCAGCTGTCTTTTGCTATGAAATCCTTGTGTGCCCAAACCTATTGGTAAACAGTTCAGCTCCCCAGACCTGCTGAACCTACTAAGTTACTAACTGCCCTGCTGAGCTTAGGAGACAAGCTGGCAGGAGACACATAGCTTTGTTTCCTGTGCTAAAGAAGCTCAGACCATCCCCTCACTTTGAGGAGGCCTACTGGTGCTCCAGAGCATTTTGACTGAAAACAAAAGAGGTTTTTACATATCAAAGTGAGAGATAAAACAACATTCCTGAGGAGACAGGGAAAGAGGTACCCAGAGAAAGAAAAGGCAGGCATCTTCTGTAGACAAGAAGGACAGAACAGCAGGGCAAGAGAGAAGAGAGGATGACAGAGGTTCTATAGAGGGTAAGCAGATCTCAAGTAGAGTTTTCTGAGTGCCAGGAGTAGAGAGTAGCAGAGATGGAGAAAAAGGACACAGAGGACGAAGATGAGGCTGAACGCATAGGAGTTAGTCATTAGCTGGACTATGAGCTAGGGAGCTGGACAGAACTGCAGTTATGGAGACAGGATTTCATCCTATAGCTGAATTGATGTAGTTTTGTCTTAGAGGAATAAAGTTAACAGACATAAGAACATAGTGTGTGTAGATTTTTTTCTCTGATATCCCACACCAGATATAGCAAAGCCCCCTTGGACCCTGGGGAATCAATAGGTATGTGATATTTATCAAGAAATTTGTCAATTTCTTTTATATTTTCCAATTTTGAGTAGTACAGGTTTTTTAAGTATGACCTAATGATTGTCTGGATTTCTTCAGTGTCTATTGTCATGTTCCCCCTTTTTGCTAATTTGGATATTCTCTCTCTGCCTATTAGTTAATTTAGATATGGGTTTTTCTATCTTGCTGATTTTCTCAAAGAACAAACTCTTTGTTTCATTGATTCTTTGTATTGTTCTCTTTGTTTCTATTTTATTGACCTCAGCCTTGAGTTTATTTCCTGTTATCTACTCCGCTTGGGTGTATTTGCTTATTTTTGTTTTAGAGCTTCCAGGTGTTATGCAAAGTTGCTAGTGTGAGATTTTTTCAATTTCTTTATGTAGGAACTTAGTGCTATGAACTTTCTTCTTAGCACTGCTTTCAGAGTGTCTCGTAAGTTTGGGTATGTTGTGCATTCATTTTCATTGAATTTTAGGAAGTCTTTAATTTCTTTCTTTATTTCTTCCTTGACCCAGTGGTGATTCAATTGAGCATTACTTAGTTTCCATGAGTTTGTAGGCTTTCTGTATTGTGTAGTGTTGTTGAATTCTAACTATAAGCCATGGTGGTCTGATAGAATACAGGAGGTTATTCCAATTTTTTTGTGTGTGTTTGTTGAGATTTGTTTTGTTGCTGAGTATGTGGTCAGTTTTGGAGAAGGTTCCATGGGGTGCTGAGAAGAATGTATATTCTTTTGTGTTTGGGTGAAATGTTCTATAGATGTCTGTCAGGTCCATTTGAGTCATAACATCTGTTAGTTCCCTTATTTCTCTGTTTATTTTCTGTCTGGATGACCTGTCTGTGGTGAGAGTGGAGTGTTAAAGTCTCCCACAGTGTGTGGGGTTCTATATGTGATTTTAGCTTTAGTAATGTTTCTTTTACAAATGTGGATGTCCTTGTGTTTGGGGCATAGATGTTCAGAATGGAGGCATCATCTTGGTGGATTTGTCCTTTGATGAATATGAAATGACCTTTACTATCTCTTTTGCTTAATTTTGATTTGAAGTCTCCTTTGTTAGATATTAGTGTTTAGTGTTTTGGTTATTATGTGGCGAGGGGACTTTTTTTCTGGTCTGGTCTATTTGGTGTTTTATACATTTCTTGTACCTTTATCACATGTCTTTTTTTAGATTGGAAAAATTTTCTTTTATGATTTTGTTGAGTATATTTTCTGAGCCTTTGAGCAGGGATTTTTCTTCTTCTTCCATCTCTAATACTCTGAGGTTTGATCTTTTTATAGTGTGCCAGATTTCCTGGATGTTTTGTGTTAGGAACTTTTTAGATTTAACATTTTCTTTGACCAATAAAACTATTTCCTCCATTGTTTCTTCAATGCCTGAGATTCTCTCCTCCATCTCTTGTATTCTGTTGGTAATACTTATATCTGTAGTTCCTGTTCACTTACCCAGATTTTCAGTTTTTGGAATTGTGTGTGTGTGTGTGTGTGTGTGTGTGTGTGTGTGTGTGTGTGTGTGTTTATTGATTCTATTTTTCTTTTCAAGTCTTGAACAGATTTGTTTCTGTCAACTATTTTATTTCTTCTTGATTTTCTTTTTTTATTAAGAAATTTTTTATTCATTTTACATACCAATCACAGATGCTCCTCTCCTCCCCCCCCCCAGCCTTTCCCCCCAACTCACGCCCCATTCCCAACTCCTCCAAGGCAAGGACTCCCATGGGGAGTCAGCAGAGCCTGGTATATTCAGTAGAGGCAGGTTCAAGCCCCTCTCCCTGCCTCAAGGCTGTGTGAGGTGTCCCACCATAGGTAATGGGCTCCAAAAAAGCCCACTCATACACCAGGGATGGCTCCTGATCCCACTGCCAGGGGGCCCCCTAAACAGTTCAAGCTAAACAACTGTCTTGCCATGCAGAAGGCCTAGTCAAGTCCCATGGGGGCTTCATAGCTATTGGTCTACAGTTTATAAATTTCCACTAGACTGACCTGGCCATCTCTGTACATTTCCCCATCATGATCTTGATGTTTCTTGCTCATATAATCCCTCCTCTCTTTCATCAACTGGCCTCCTGGAGCTCAACCTGGTGCCTGGCTGTGGATCTCTGCATCTGCTTCCATCAGTTACTGGATGAAGGCTCTATGACAACAATTAGGGTATTCACTATTCCGATTACCAGAGTAGGCCAGTTCAGGCTCTCCTTGGTTTTCTTGACATTTGTTAAGAGATTTATTGATTTCATCCATTTTTTTTTGGGTTGTCTTTCCCACCATTTCTTTAAGGGATTTTTTTATTTCCTCTACCATCTTCATAAAATTTTTTTTATGTTTTTTTTCTTGTGTGTCAACTGCCTTGGAATGTTCATGTCTTGCTGTTGTAGGATAACTGTGTTCTAGTGGTAACATACTACCCTTTCTATTATTGTGTTCTTCTTTCACTGGCATTTAGCCATCTGGATTTGGGGTGATTATAGGTCTAGGTGTTGATTCCTGTGTATGCTTGTTGGATGGGTATTTTGTTCCTTGGCTTCTGTTTCCTCTCTGGTCTTCTGACCTAAGTGGCCAAGGGTTCTGGTAACTGATGAGTCTTTAAGTCTAGTAGGGCATCTCTGTTGGAGTTTTGGGGGCCTTGGGTCACTTGATCTGGTCTTCCCTCCAGTAAAGCCAAAGCCTTTTTGGTTCTCTAGATCCAGACTGGCCTCCATAAAACCTGAGTATTCTTTCAGGGTATCAAGGACCAGCCTGATCTCTGCTAGAGCTGCTGGAGCTGTTATTTTGAATGCTGTGGCCTGTACTTGGGCCTATGGTGTCTGTTCTTCCAACTGGTGTTAACTATGTCTTGGTATTTGGAGTCTGCTGGAGTTCTGAGGAAGGGCTGCTTGCTGACTGGTAAGGGCATTTATGGCTGGTATGTTCTGTACCTCAGTGGTGGAAGTCTGATGGAGTTGGGGACAGGGCCCAGCAGCATCAGGCCAGAGACAATTTGGTATGGTGATGGCCTGGTGAAGGCTCATGGGGACAGAATCTAGGGAGGGGTACAGTTCTAATAGTAGGAGGGTTGCTCACCTGTTCTGATTTGTGTGACCTAGGCTTGCCTAGTGAAAGTCTTCTGGGCTTGGTGGGAGGGACAAGTTGCAGGGACAAATGGATTAGTTGGCCTGGTGTGGGCCTCTGGAAAGGTCATCATGGGCAGAAACCAGGAAGGGGTGTAATTTCACTGGTAGGCGGATCACTCATCTGTTCTGTTGACAGCCCATTCTTATGCACACTAGTGTCTTAGTCAGTGTTCTATTGCTGTGGAGAGACACAATGACCACAGTAACTCTTATAAAGGAAAGATTTTAATTGGGGCTTGCTTACTGTTTCAGAAGTGTAGTCCATTGTCACCATGGTGGGGAACACGGCAGCATTCAGGAAGACATGGCTCTAGAAAAGTGCTGAGAGTTCTACACTTGAGTGTGCAGGCAGCAGGAAAGGAGGGAATCTCTGGGCTTGAGCTTTGTGAAATCTCAAAGTCCACCCTCAGTGACATTCTTCCTCCAACAAGTCCTCACATTCTAATAGTGCTTCTCCTTGATGACCAAGTATTTAAATCTATGAAGCTATTGGTGGCCATTATCACTCAGACAACCACATTTCACTCCATGGCCTTCTTAGGCTTCTAGCAATAATACAAAATTCATTTAGTCCAACGTCAAAAGTCCCCATAGTCTATCACAGTCTCAACATTCTTTGAAAGTCCAAAGTTCAAAGTTTCTTCTGAGACTCATGCCAATTTCTTAACCATAACCCCTGTAAAATAGAAATCAAAAAAGTAGATCACATACTTTCAGCATAAAAAATGGTATAAAATATTCATTACCATTCTGATAGTGAGGAAAAGGAAAATAGTGAGGAAATACTGGACCCAAAAACCAAATTCTGCATTTCCATATCTGATGTCCAAATGCTCTTCAGATCTCCAATTCCTTTCAGCTTTGTTGACAGCAACATACTTCCCTTTCTTAGGCTGGTTCCACACCCTATTAGAAGCTTTCTTTAGCAGGTATCCAATAACTCCAGCATCTCCAATGTCTTGGAATATTCAACAAAACCCAGGCTTCACTGTCACAGGTTAATACAATGGCCTCTCTGGGCCTCCATGCAGGGATACTCTTGACATACACCAGACCTCAGCAGCTTTTCCTAGCCTCAGAGGGATATTCCACAACCCCTTTCTTGTATCCTTGACCCTACAGCCAGTAACATGTGGCCAAAGCTGCCAAATTCTACTGCTTTCTGGGGTTGAAACTTGCCCTTTTCCTTCAACTACCTTTGCACCAGATTTCTGTTTTTGATGTTTTTCTTCACTGCTTAAGCTTTTCTTAAATTCCTTTTTTTCAGCTGGAAGCTTAGCTGGGTGGGGTCTTGCCCTAAGGTCACCACTCCTTTTATTCTACTTAGAATCAGGCTTTTCTTGAAATATTTTATCTCTGCAAGCACTGGACTTAGTTCTATTGTACTTCCTGATGTACCTTTTCTCCTCAAACTGTACATTTTGCATTTTACCTTGCTTACCTTGCTCCTTTTTATTATAGATCTGCATAAGAGTGACCACTAATAACCACATGACACAATCAATACTAGCCCATCTTGAAATATGCATTGCCAATGCTATTAATCCAAAACTCTTCAATTGAGCCCTGAGCAAATTTTTTAGACAAGGGCAGAAAGCAGCCACATTCCTTACCAAAATATCACTAGAATGGTCTCTAGACCACTTACTAATATTCTGCTCCTCTGAAATCTCTTGAGCCAGTCATCATAATCCACATTGCTCTCAGTACTACTGTTGTCCACACTTTTACTAGTATGGTCCATTAAACCCCACTTAAAGTGTTCAACAGCTTTCCTAATCCAAAGTCCCAAAGCCCACATTCTGCTAACAAGCAGCATGGTCAGGCCTGTCACTGAAATTCTCCACTCCCTGGTACCAACTTCTGTCTTAGTCTGTGTTCTACTGGTGGGGAGAGACACCATGACAATGGCAAGTAAATCTTACAAAGGAAAGGATTTAATTGGTACTTGCCTACAGTTATAGAGGTTCAGTCCATTGTCATCATAATGGGGACTGTGAGACCAAAATGAGCCATCTTAGAAATAAGACCAAAATGCTTTCACCCTAAAACTAAGGCCTGAGATTTCTCCTTTTCGGTACAGGCCATGAGTTACTAAAACCAGTCAGTTCAGATTCCAGAAACCAGGAAGTGTAAAAGTACAGAGTCACAAAGTAGTCGTGAGGTAATGACTGCCGGACTATGGAATGTCCTCTCCCTGGTTTCCAGGATAACTGACCACAGAAATGTCCCCACCTGAGGGCAGCCAATGAAAAATGGTGGCAGGTAACCACCCCCTTAGAAGTAAGATTAAGCCATGATTTCTAGAAAGCTCCTACAAGCGAGCCAATCAGAATTGTACTAGCACCCCTAAATGATGTAGCCTTATGGTTTTTGCCTTTAAAAACTGAGCTTGCAAGAGGTGGGCACTTCTTCCAGCCTCCACTGTGTTGGATCTGTTGGATGAAGTCCCTGCCTAGGCTTGTATATCCTGAATTAAACCTTGCTTTTGCATTCCGGCATGCTCATCTTCAGTGGTCTTTCTGGGGATTGCGATATGGGCACAACAGGGAGCACAGTGACGTGATGGCAGACATGGTGCTGGAGAAGTAGCTAAGAGTTCCACATCTGGATCCACAGGCAGAAGGAAGAAAAAGAGTCTCTGGGCTTGAAATGGGCTTTTTGAAACCTCAAAGCTCACCCCCAGTGATATACTTCCTCCAACAAGGCCACAACTTCTGATCTTTCTGACCCTATCAAAGAGTTCCATTACCTGATGACTAAGCATTCAATATGAGCCAATGAGTGCCATTCTTATTCAAACCACCACATCTAGTACAGGCATCCATAGATGCTGTTGGTTCTTGATTGCAGTGGCAGTGTTATATTATTGTTACATTCAAAAGATGGCATTTTTACAGTCCTTCTCCTTATTTTCTGTCTCTTATGTTCTTTCAGCCCCTGCTTATTTTTTTTTTCAATTTTACCTGAGCCTTAGTGATGGTATCAATCTCTTTCATAGGTTCTAATACTCACTAAGCATTTATTCTCAATGTCTTGTGGAGCCTCTGCATTCACTGCCTTTTACTAAAAGAAGTGGCTTCTCTAATTAAGAATGAATGTTACACTTGTTTACGGGTATAAACAAAAATATTTAGAGGACAGTTTGACACTATGTCAAATTAGCTATACAATAGTGCTCAGTTACCCCCTAAGGCTTGTGGTCTCCCTTACTCTTGGCTTTTCAACAAAGTTTATAGTATCTGATGTAGATTCCTTCCTGTGCAGTGGGCCTCCAAGCTAATTGGAGAAGTGTTGGGTATGCCCATAGCAACAGCACAAGTGGGCACATCTTGCCTGTCAGGCTCTTTCTGTAGTTCATAAGGTTCCCAGCTGGGTAAGATTGTTTATGCCCTTTCTTTCCCAAAACAGCATAGAATTTTATGAGGTTGCTCATAAGAATTTTGCAACCTTAATCCAATTTTCATATGTTTTTGCTATTCCTATTTACCACCTGCAAGACCCAGGAAAACAATGCAGAAATATTCCTTTATTGACTCCTTTAAGTGTGTACCCACATCTGAGTTAGAGTACTTGTCATATTTATGTCTCACTACCTATAATAGCAGCCTATGCAAAATTCATTTAGAACGTAACTGAGATTCCCTCAAACAGTTCCTTTCATTGTCATTCTAACACGCTGTAAAGAAACTTTGTCTGCTGTGGAGAGAAAATCAACTTCAGGTGGCTCCAGTCAACTCTTCATGGTAGTCTCTCTCAGGTGCTTTAAAAGAGTAGTCCCAATTATAGACATACACAAGGGACGCAGCATGTCCTAACAGAAGAACAGCTCACCTTCAAATTATTACAAATGAGCACTTAGGGTGAGTGAATCTCTAACATACATGTATACCCCTTCAATTCTTTACCTGATTAGGGGCCCCGATGTCTTTTGGTCTTCTTCCTTTCTCTTCTCCTACCCTGTATATGAACTTACATAGATCATATGTAACTTACTTTTCCTGCCCTACTATATTGTCCTACGAAATTCATTGTCTGGTTCTTGTTAGCAAATGGATGAAAGGGGAACTTGCATGGGTTTTAGAAGCAAAAAGAAAAACAACAACACTTAGTGGCTGAAAATCATTTGGGTTAAATGTAGTAACTAAAGGATGCTGAACTGCCAGGGAGCTTCAGGTTATCTACTCTCTTCTTCTGTGGTAGGTCTCCTTCCCAACTCTGGATTTTCTAGATCAGTCTTACCCCCAGCCACCTGATGGATACTGACAGAGACACAGTGGAACATGTACATAGTTGGCCTCTCAGGTGAATTAGCTGTTAACTTTCTGATGCTTTAAGTCTGTCTAGACATTCACTTTCCCAGACTTTGTCATAATTGAATTAGGTCAAAGTGCTCAATGACCCCTATCCTACAGCAAATACTGGTCCAGTTTCCATGAATATTTATAGTCATGTGCCTTGTGTTCTATTGCTATAAAGAGACACCATGACCATGGCAACTCTTATAAAGGAAAGCATTTAACTGGTGCTTGCTTACAGTTAGAGCAGTTTAGTCCATTATGGTGGAAAGCAGACATGGTGCTGAAGAAGAAGCCAAGCATTCCACATCCAGATCCACAGGCAGCAGGAAGAGAGAAAGCACTGGGACTGGCTTGGGCTCCTGAAACCCCAAAGCCCATTCCTCATGACACACTTCCTCCAACAAGGCCACACCCACTTCAACAAGGCCACACCCACTTCAACAAGACCACACTTCCTAATCTCAAGTAACACCACTCTCTAGTGACCAAGCATTCAAATATTTGAGCATATGGTGCCATTCCTAGTTAAACCACCACATTGTTGTCTGGCAATCAAGAGGGGCCTTTAATATAGAAACAAGTAACAAACATTTATTTGATATATCAAGGACCAACCAGGGTATATAGTATTTTTTCCTTACTGTAAAATTATAAAATCAGAAAAGATGAATTGGTTCTTCTCCAAAAGCAGAGGTATTAGTATTGACTGTTCCATTCTATAAAGCTCCTCCTTCATTCATTTCACTCTTCTGCTGCTGGCTGGCTCTTTATCACATGGCTCTATATCACATGATGGGCACATTTACAGACTGCAAGCTTGGGCACCTCTAAGGTCTCACTCCTGGGTTTCCCTCTAATTCTTCCACCCCCATTATGTGTTTTGCATCCTTTTTTTATCCCTTTCACTGGGCTTGCAGAAATGACACCATCTTCACAAGATAGAGTCACACTCTGAAAAGAGTGTTTCTAAGCTGTTGATTTTAAAGATGCCTCTCTGGTATTGCTCCGAAAAAGTGTGTAACCTTGATTCTGGCACACAATTCTTACTCTGTGACTACATGCAGCAATTCTCATTTAGACTTTTTTACAGAACAATTTGGTAGCATTTTCATTTATTACACATTTAATTGCCTTTTAATTGGTGCAGCTGTTTTCAACATGTTTGAGGCATATTGGAACTATCTTGCTTAGAACTCATTTTAGGCTCTCTTCCTGCCCTGGATTCCATTATTGTTAAGTTGACACTTTGTGCTTGGACATCACAAGCTTAATCAAAGACTTGCTTTCTAGAATAAAACATCCAGACAGTCATAACTTCTATAGACAATGAGGAAAGAATGTTTTAATAACCAGAAGTAGCTGAGCACAGGGGCATGTGCCTGTAACCTTAGCTACTTGGGAGGCTGAGACAAGAGAATGGCAAGTTCAAGCCCAGTATGAATAATTTAGCAAGACCCTGTCTCAAAAAAACTAAAAAATTGGGCTGGAGAGATGGCTCAGTGGTTAAGAGTACTGCTTGTCCTTCCAGAGGTCCTGAGTTCAATTCCCAGCAACCACATGGTGGCTTACAACCATCTATAATGGGATCTGATACCCTCTTCTGGCATACCAGAGTACATGCAGACAGAGTACTCATATACAAAAAATACATAAATAAATAACATTTTTTAAAGTAAAAAATTAAAGGACCATAGTGCTGCATGTGACTGTGCACTCCTTTAATCCCTGCACCCAGTAGGCAAAGGAAGGCAAATCTCTGTGAGTTTGAGACGAGCCCAGTCTACATAGTGGGACCTAGACCAGAAAGAGCCCCAAACTGAGACTCTCTTACAAAATTAAATAAATAAATGAATGAATAGAAATTTAAAAGGCAGTACATGCAGTATATTGGTCCTGGTTTCAGTTCCCAGTCCCTCCACACACTCCCTACTCCAGAAATGAAAGTCTTCTCAGGAACAAAAATGACCAGAAGGTCTTGGAGTATAGCTACTAGATTTTCAGTTCGAACCCCACTGTTATAAAGCCATATGCCTGAGGCAAGTGATTACTTTTCTGGACCAGAGAAGCTGTCCTGTAAAGTCCTGGATTTTAGATTCTGAGTATCTGATTTTAATGTACAGGAAACATTCCTTAATGTCTTGTATTATGCAGTGAAGACATTTTAATGAAGTAGTATAGTTTTGAAATTTTATGCTTGGATTATTTTCACTTTTGGAGCACACACACTGTTCAGATGCTTGCTTTCTTACTTACTTTTCTGTTGTGTTGAAGAAGACAGGGTAGGACACATTTAGGAGATATTGGCCAGTAGAGACTGAGTCTTAATGTTCATACTTGTGATCCTGTATTGGTAATATCTGACTCATAGAGTTGTTCTGAAGGTAAAAATGAAAAAAATTATCATGGAAGTTCTTTATAAACTAAAGGAGGCTGCTTACACATCACCATTCTTTATTTTAATAAGAAATATGGGTATTTTCTGACAGGATGAATTCTGGAAAAAAATCTAAACAAATGTATCATAATACATGATTAGCCACTCAGTTACCCAGCTCATTACTAGTTTTAAATATCTGGAGTCCTTCCACAATCATTATTACCTCTAATTGGAGTGGAGATTGGATGAGAAAGTCTAACCAGTTCAGTTCTCCAGTTGAGAGAGAGTCTCGTTAAAGTGATGAGATAGAAACAAGAAGCTGGGAATTCATAGTTCCTCTCTTCCTATGTGGTTCCAGACTGAGTCTACCAGGGAAGGATGCTCACTTCAGACTGCAGCAGGAAGAAAAGCCCAGCCTTAGTCTCACAAGAAGTAGAGGAGGAATATGTCAAATAGGGTAGTCCTGAGTTTGTTGGACCATCTTCCCAGTAAGCCTGTGATGTGTTTGAACCTCTTTAAACCAAATAAACGTCACAGGCAGAAGGGCTGCAGAAGTGAAGAGTTGCAGTGATGTCTGGTGAGCTCACAGCATGCACTTCACTGCTCTGGGCTGAGATTTGGGGCATGGTGCTCTTGTTTGCTTGCCGTTGCTATGATAAATAAGCAACCCAGAGGAGGAAAGGGATTATTTGGCTTACACATGTGATCATAGTCTATTACTCAGGCAAATTAGGGCAGGAACCTGGAGGCAGGAACTGAAGCAGAAGCCATGGAGGAATGCTGTTTACTAGCTTGCTTAGCTTGATTTACACACACACACACACACACACACACACACACACACACACACACACACACACACACATACACACACACACACACATATATATAACTGAAGACTTCCCAAATGTCCCACAGACCAATCTATATGGAGGCATTTTTCTCAACTGTAGTTCCCTTTTCACAAATGACTTTAGCTTGTGTCAAGTTGACACAAAGTCTAGCCAGCAGAGATGGTTTCCCTGGTGTTTGACTTGATGAGTTTCTTGAGTGGTTGAATGAATATATATATTCTCTATATTGAGACCTATAATTCCTGGAGTGCAAAGTATGATTTCTGTTTTCCTGATGGTCTGTCTGATAATAGCCTCTCTATTCCTACAAAAACCCTATATAGTGAAAACGGGTTAATCACCTATAAGCTACTATGAGCCAGCCACTTTACTAAGTGCTTTAAATTCATTCTGCCATTGTCATTGTCATAGTCATCATCATCATCATCATCATCATCATCACCATCATCATCATCTTTGTCACAACATTTCAGGATCAAGCCGCAAGATCAAGCCTATTTTTCCTCCATTTTGAAGATGAGGAAATTTAGGCTTAAAATATAACTTGCATAAGACCATACAATAACATATGTAGGTTGATGCTTTAGAACAGAGGAGAGAAACATTTGCTATTAATGGGCATGTCACAAAGTGAGACAGAGATGTTGTGAGTCAGAGATGGTTTCAGGAAAATGGAAGAGGTAATAGCTATCATCACCTTTTCAGCATGCTTTTAAAGGTTTTTTTTAATATAAATTTAAGTTTTATGTATGTGTGTACACACATACATATCCTGGCAAATGTGGGGTTGTGGATATGCCATGGCATGCATGTGGAAATTAAAGAATAATTTTTGAGAGCTGGTTCTTGGACCTCAGTATTGAACTCAGGTCATCATGTTTGGTAGTAGTTGCTTTTATTCATTGATTTTTTTCCCTTCTCACTCTCCATCCAGAGCTCATTTTCCTCCTCTTCAAATATCTATTCCAAACATACATGATAGCTGGCAGGAATCCAACCTGGGTTGGTTGAATTAATTCCTCTTCTAAACAAGATAGAAAAGTCAAGTTGCCATTTCTCAACCTCAGATTCGTCTGCCCTGAGTGTTAGAGGATGACACTCAAGTACTGAAGATTTAGTCTAGTGGTATCCCTTCACTTCTGCTACCACAGAAGGTGAGATGTGTTAGCCTTGCCTTGTAAATAGAACGTTGACACAGCCTTAAGTACATTCTGTGTGGCTATAGATCAGGAAAACATGTTATTTCCTTGCCCCGATGAGGCAAGAATACTGGAAACTTTACTTTCCCTGTAATAGTATACATATGATTCTTGTGGAATAATATATTCATCTCTACAACTTTCAAGGTTGTCTTTGCTGACTGCTCAAAGGAATTTCTTCTGTCCCTTGCTCTTTGCCTTGGGAATGGCTTTATGCACCCCTTTTTTTGGAGTGACCTCCCATGATTGATCAGTGCTGTGGTACAAGGCTAACATCACTTACCTTGATTCAGAACATCTCTACTGGCAGATTAGCTGATCTCTCAACTTCAATTTCTTCTTTTCCCAGTCCTTGTCACTCACTCCCGTAAAGAATTATTCATCTCAGTTGTTCCTGAGACCAATGCCCAATCAACTACTGCATGCAATCTGCTATTTCTGGCTCAGAATCTTCTTGTGGGATCTTGACCATGACAAACAGTTAACCACATTCATGACACCCATGGCTTCTTGAGGTTTCTTTTCTCAGTGTAGAAAATCTTTCCTTCTTGGAATAGATGCTATGATTTATTACTTCTCAAGCACTTGGAATTTCGGTTGGAAAACAGTCTCGGCTGTCAGACTCTTTTGAAGAAAATTGTGCACCCTTAATAGGGCTTCTTCTATCAGAAGGCCTTATCCAGTGACTGATCAGCATGGTGTAAAGGCTACACTGTATCATTTCTACCTTGAAAATTCTGAAGATGCCTCCTCAGCTCCAGACTTCTCTTTCTTTCCTTTTAGATTTTTTTTTATTACATTTACTTCATTGGTTTTTTTTTTTTGATAATTTCATGTACAAGCACTGTATTTACTTATTTCTACCCTTCTCTCTCCCCCACCAACTCTTTCTGTGCCACATCCTGCTCCCTCTCAAACTCATGACCTCTCCTTTTGTTGTTACTGTTCCATACATATCATGTATGTATGTAGACTACCTGCTAAGTCCTTTTAGTGTTGCTGGAATATGTATGTGTTTAAAGCTTGGGATTGGATAACCTATCAGGGTGCACATCCCACAGAGTTGTTCTTCCTCTCTCAACAGAAATTGATGGCCTATACCTCTTCATCTAGGGCTGAGGAATCATGAGAGTTTCCCCATCTGTGCTGGCATGTCAACAGGTGCTGTCACTGTAAAGGTCTTTTTATGTTGAAGACACTGTCTTGCAGCAGACATTTTGTGACTATTACAGTATTTGTACCCCTCTTCTACAATATTCCTAAGCTTTGGATATAGGGGTTGTGTTATAAATGTATTCACTGGAGATGTGTATCACACAGTTGGTTGTTCTCTATATTTGTATCAGTTGTGGATTTTTGTGATGAGCTTTTTTTTATTATTTAATTTTTTTTCCTTTTATATACCAACCCCTACTTCCCCTCCCTCCCCATTACCTGCTCCTTCCCATCCCCCCCCTCCACATCCCACCCCCATCCTCTCCTCATAGAGGGTAAGGCCTCCCTTGGGTAGTCAACACAGGCTGGCATACCAAGTTGGGACCAGACCTAGCCCCACCCCTCTGCATCAAGGCTGAGTAAGGCATCCCACTATAGGGAATGGGCTCTAAAAAGCCAGTTCATGTACCTGGGATAATTCCTGGTCCCATTGCCAGGGCACCTACAAACACATCGAGCCATGCAACTTTCACCCACATTCAGAGGACCTAGTATGGTCCCATGCAGGCTCCCCAGCTGTCAGTCCAGAGTCCATGAGCTCTCAGTAGCTTGGGTCAGCTATCTCTGTGGTTTTTCCCATCATGATTCTGTCTTCCCTCGCTCTTATAATCCTTACTCCTTCTCTTCAACTGAGCTCCAGGATCTTGGCCAAGTACTTGACTGTGGGTCTCTGCATATGCTTCCATTCAACACTGGATGTAATTAGGGTAGACACCAATCTCAGTGCAGAGGAAGGCTAGTTCAAGCACCCTCTCCACCATTGCTATGAGTCTTAGCTCAGGACAGTCTTGTGAGTTCCTGGGGTTTTCTCTAGCTGTAGATTTCTCCCCATCCCCTTAATGGTACACTCTGTCAAGTTATCTCTTTCATTGCTCTCCCTCCCTGTCTCTCCCCCAACTTGGCCATCTCAAGCCCTATGTTTTCACCTCCTACCCCCTCCCCTCTATTCCCAACTCCCAGTTTACCCAGGAGATCTTAATCCTTTCCCCTTCCTGGGGCAATCCATGTTTGTTCTCATAGTGTTCTCCTCTTTACCTAGCTTCTCTGGGGTTGTAGATTGTAGCCTGGTTATCCTTTGCTTTGTGTCTAATATTCACTTATGAGTGAGTACATACTGTGTTTGTCTTTCTAGGTTTGGGTTACCTCACTTAGGATGATTTTTTCAAGTTCCATCCATTTGCCTACAAATTTCATCATGACATTTTTTTTACCGCTGCATAAAACTCCATTGTGTAAATGTAACACATTTCCTTTATCCATTCTTCAGTTGAAGGGCATCTAGGTTGTTTCCAGGCTCTGGCTTTTATGAATAATGCTGCTATGAACATAGTTGAGCAAATGTCCCTGTGGTGTGGCTAAGCATCTTTTGACTATATTCCCAAAAGTTGTATTACTGGGTCTTGAGGTAGGCTGATTCTGAATTTTCTGAGATACTGCCATACTGATTTCCAGAGTGGCTGTACAAGATTGCATTCCCACCAGCAGTGGAGGAGTGTTCCCCTTTCTCCATATCCTCTCCAACATAAGCTCTCGTCATTGTTTTTGATCTTAGCCATTCTGACAGGTGTAAGATGGTATCTCGGAGTCATTTTGATTTGCATTTCCCTGATGGCTAAGGACATTGAACATTCCTTAACTGTCTTTTGGCCATTTGAGATTCTTCTGTTGAGAATTCTGTTTAGCTCTGAAGTCCAGTTTTTAATTGGATTATTTGATATTTTGCTGT